ATGCCACGTGGATATCTCTGCTTGTCTCAACATCACGCCGTTCAACTGATGGCGACCGAGTTATGTGCTCGCCTCGCAACCGCATTGACGGCGTCGACTACGACACTACAGAACTCGGACTTGCTAGAACAAAAACTGGTGCTGGGCATGGACGTTTCTCTGTGAGCCATCCTGGCCCTCACATATTTCCGCGTTTGAGCCATACAGGAACCAAAAAGGTGCGTCCACAGGCGGCGAAATGTGGACAAAAGGGTTAGAAGGGAAGAAAGAAGAATATCAACTGGTCACTGGTCGGCCCTGTATGCGCATCAACCATTCTCGTGTTGGGACTTGAAGCGCGACGCGACAGGCAACACCATAGTCGTTGGCTATGTACTTAGTATAGATACTGACATCATGGACTGATGCGTCGAAGAGTCATGACGAGGGGGTGAGCAAGCAGGTGGGGGTCGATTCATGCTGCTGCCAGTGAAGACGGACAGCATTGCGAGCGGTGATAGCCAGACGCGACGAAGGAAGCGGCCGCTGAGATGGAAAGTTTTGAAGTTGTGGTCGAAGTAGCAGTACTTGCGGACGAGTGTGTGGGTCAGGCGAAGGCATCTTCGCCAACGCGAGACATTTTTCAATTGTTCCAATAAACGTCCATGTAGTCGATGTCTCTTCTCACCTGAACTTGGCTATCTGCACAATGTGCATGGCATACTCCCCAGCATGCGTCTTTCGAACGGTCGACAACATTCGTCCCAGGGACTGAGGATTTAGCCCCCTCTGCGTATCGCTGTACCACTCCTGGACCATTGCCACGCCTGATCCAAGCGACTGCATGGTATTGAAGGTCAATTCGGACGTGCGATCTCCGTGGCTTTTCAAATCGAGAAAGAACGGGAGGAGTGCGGTTTTACTGTGTAATCGCCCGGCCATACGGCGTAACAGTCACCCGGTAGTCGGGTTGATTACATGTTCGCCTTTTCGACTTGTTAGTTGCATGCGAACTCCATGTTTAGTTAGGAACCCACTTAGTTCGTCTGGGATCGGCAGTTATAAAAGCACAAGGTTTGTTAAGTCCCAAGAGCTCCATATGGACGAAAGCGATTGCGAAGACGGCCTATCACTTTTGTATCACACTTCCTTTTCTTTTCCAATCTTTCCGCACTCGCTGATACTTACACACGTCTTCCCAACAAATCCTCCTTCATACACATGCAGGCCAGTCTGCTCCCCCAAGGGTACAAGACCCACAAAGTGAGGGCGCACACCGGTTTCATTGCAGCCGAGAGATTGACAAGTTGATCCAGGAAGGGAAGGATGACCTGGATCTCTTTCTCGATCTTGATCATCAGACCGCCAACCCACTCTGTCCACAAATCGCATGTGTGGAATGACACCTCTTTGTTACGACCCGTTATGTATGGATAACAGTTGACCGACCCACTTGGGCATCGGGCGGCTAGGATAAGACATTTGTACTGCAGGATCACGGGAACAACAGGGACTCACTCGGAACGGAAAAACTATGGTACAGGTCACGTGACGATAAGAAGGACCGACGAGAGATAAGCGGTCCTGACCTAGGACCGACATGAAGAAAGCGGTCCACACCCGGGGACCGCTCAGAAGACATCGGTCCTCAGTTTAAAGAAACTACCCTAGACTTATATATAGTATGACCCTGAGCCTGGCTCATGGTCAAACTTCCATAGCTCTTCAGCAATCAACTTAGTATTCATCCTCACGGATACTCTCAGCTTACCTTCACTGCGAATCACTTATTGAGTCTAAGACTGATCACCTTGGCCTCTGAAGAACCCGATCTACTACAGCCTACGAACTACGACCTACGACCACGACCCAGTGTACTGTTAGAACGTATCAATCCCCAGCTTCTGTTAGCAGACCCTACTGTCGGATAGCTGACCGTAACACTCTTCGCTAGACAGGCTATGCAGCTCGTCATCACCAAGTCGCTTAAACAGCTTGAAGCGATGTTCGAGGTGAGGGGCAGTCTAATAAAAGTAGTTGAGCTTGCCCTTCTCGAACGTGCTTGTGTAAGACCGGCGTAGGCGTTGGAGGATTGGGCTGCGGCTTGGGGCCCCAGCCTCATAGTTGTTAGAAACGGGACAGGGAGCAAAGTGAAGAGAAAGCAAGGAAGAGAAGAAAGAAACGTAGCAAGACTCACCTCCGAAGCAAGGAGCACATGTGTTATTTCGGTGAGCAATGAGACGACGAGGCTTGAGAGTACTAGGTTCATAGTGATAATGGTCTTGCTTGGAAAGAAGACTGTGCGGTCGACCTACTGATAGGACGTGGGAGCTTTCACTAAGCTTTCGCACCTCTGGGGTAGCGACTAGCGTATGTAGGTGTTAGCAAAGCAAGGACCAGGTGACGTTTTTCTTCTAGTACACTATTGGGAAAACGTGGTCCATGCTGTAGATATCTAAGATTATGCAGTACGCGAAAGCCAACGATATAAGATGCATCTGATCGTGGAGTGGACAGCTGAGGTGTATGGTAAGTAGGTGAAGAAACCGCATTAGGTGCGTTTATTTAGCGATCTGTTCCGACGACCTTCGCAGCCCAAGGAGAAGCTTTAAATCAGCGGTACGCTCCGACATGTTCGGATGAGGCTGGCCCTCGAATGTCCTCTCGTTGGAACAGTCACGGGTGTTGATCAGCATCTTACTGACGTTTTTCATGAGACAAGCCTTGAGATCTTTGCTCAGCTGGTAGCATGACGCCTGCAAACGGTCGGTCAATGTAGCGGGCCTGCCACCCTTGACGACTCATATGTTCGTCTCACTGAGAGCGAGAACGATGTATACTGAGCCGACCTCGTGCTTATGGGACGGCGTGGGGCCTAAATTTGGGTTCAGTGACTAAAGCTTGGAGAAGCTGGAAAAGGATGGACCTGTCCTTTCTGCATTCATCAAAGAACCGCGAAGCCTTTCTAGCTGTCGCCTCATAATCCGCTCATTTCTATGGAAACAGTAGGGTTCGTTTGTCGCCTACCATATACTACGAACACCTTTGTTTTCCTTCTGGATTTTCTCATGCTTTTGCGTTACAGGTTACCGCCCGCGAGCATGGCTCCTCAACTGCTGGATGACTCTGACAATGAAGAAGTCTGGCGTGGATTCGTGCAATAACCAAGAAATGCGTCCTGCTTCCTGCGGTTTGAAACCCGCCTCTTACATGTATTTCTTTCCCGTAGGTATTTAGGCGTGACGAAAGCACGAGATCAATGATTTGAGGATGAAGATGGAGGCAGCGAAGCGACTTAAATTGGATCAGGAGGTTTGAACCAGCATGAAATCTGCTCAACACAAGAGAGCTGCAGTGCACACGACAGCAGTGACCGTTTACGGCCCTGTTACCTAGTGATACTGGTCCTTTGGCCGATATATTGATAAGCGGGGCATCGCCCACTGAAGCCAGCGTCAATTCAACATTCCAAATTCGGCTTTATGTGGATGAGTGCAAAAATATAACCACCAACTCTGCAGGTAACACGGGACTTTCCAAGGCAAAGTACTCTTTTTCACTTATGCACACCTCAATACATACGTCTCATACCCTCACTTACGCCGTCAGTCTCAGCTTAAACTTTCTTACTCATATTTCTCAATGTGGAGGAGGTTTTAAGCCCACTTAGTAGGGGTTTTCACAATAACATAAAAGCAGTAAAAACACCTCAGTCAGTAGTAGCTTCACAGCTCACATACCCAGGGGTGTAGAATATCTACCCAGGCCGACCCCGACTGCAGCCGCCAAGCAAAAGCTTCTAGGCCAGACAAACATACCATTATGGCTTCCAGCCTCATGTTGACGATATCTTCGTTGCTAGCAAGGCTGACGGTCTCACATCATCTTCTCCAGTTAGCTAGCAGTCTTAAAAAGTCAAGACACCTACGCAAGCTGTGACAAGATGTCTGGCTCTTCGGAAGCCTCAAGAATGTTACGAAGCTAGCGATATGCAACGCAGTTCTTTCTGACGCTATGTCAAGAATATATACGCATCGCACATCAATGCCAGCCCCACCACAAATATGGGCAGCGCTGAAAGCAACAAACTTAGGTTGTTGCAGCAAATATGCCACTTATGTTGCACCCAAGCTCTGAGCAGGTCACGAAAATTGAGATAGTGAAGCCTTTTGCTGCTGAGGCCTCCTACGTTAAAGAATAGACTCCTTCTAAAATAAACGATAATGATGATAATTATGACTATTATCATCTAGACCCGTGATTCGCCATTACAATCATCATAGACGGAACCAACGTGAAGTCCCATGTCTTCTTCTTGAGTATCTCTAGCCCTTTGTGTCTGCTTGCTGATAGGCAAACGCACGTCGAATTGCAGCTCCTCAAGCTTCGTAATTTCCGCTTGGATAACGTACAATCTGTTGAAAAAGCATTCAAATATGGACATACGCTCTGGAGAGGTGCTAACTTGCATCTAAATGAGTTGCTGCTCCAGTTCAGCGGCTTTAGATGTGCTGATAATGACAGGTATGTCGCCACTGGCGGATCCAAGCATGTCGCTGGCTTTAATGGGCAGAACCTGCCTGGGAGACTTTCTTGACATTACCTACTCAACCTCATCAGCCCGGAAACTCGTGGCATTCCTCGTAGCCTTTGCTCTCGACTTGCTTATACAGGAAGTCGTTATTAGTGTGGTTGCCCGTGTAGAGTTCCTTCTTTCCTTCTAACTTTTCTTCTTCGCAATTTGCCACCTAGAGGCGCACCTTATGAACTGCCGTATAACTCTAACAGGGAAACATGTGGAGGGAGCGTAAACTCTATAGCTAATCCATGTATGACTAAAGGGAACATGAGGACCCTTCTTTTCCGCCCGTGTAGAATTACATGATGCCTAATGCGACCACAACGACTTCCCTCTCGCCTAATTTTTCTTGGCATCCACTGTTAGTGTAATACGTGGGAGACTACCAAAATTCCTTAACAGCTGAAAACCCTTCACCTCTCGCCTCCAGCGCCCTCCCGCGATGGCCTCGCAGCCTCCGGCGGGCTCTGGACCTTTGCCGGCCTCCTCGGCCGGCCCTGATCGAGGCTCCAGAGCCCCTCTGGAGCCGTCCCCAACCTCAAGGGCTAAACGCCGCCGCGGTACCGAGGCCCAGCTATCCCAGCCCAGCCTCGCGGGAAGCCAGCCTGACGCCTCTACGACAACCCCCTTAACGGCTAAGGGGCCCTCAACCGTGAATAGGATAGCTGCTGGAGCTATCCTTACAGCCCTTAACGAAGAGGCTAAGCACTATGAAGCCCGAAAGGATGTCTTTATGGCTATCGCCCAGTCTGTGGATAACGTGGTCTCTTGCTTTGAGGGACCTAGGAAGCAGATCGCGAAGGAGGCTACAACCTATGTGATCCAAGCCTTGAAGAGGATTATGTGGAATAAGTCTGCAGCCCCGAACCTAAGCTGGAACTGGGCTGACGTGGCGGCCTCAGCTGCAACTGCAGCTGCAGCCCCAGCCCCGGCCCCAGCCTGCACCTGGAACCCAATCCAGCCCTAGGCCCAGACTTAGACTCTAACCCAGCCACAGGAGGACCTCCGGGTCTTTGCCCGCATCCCTGAGGAGGGTTTAACGGCTGCTAGGAAGCACGCCCCTTTTGCCCTTCGTCGGAAAGTCTGCCAGGCCCTTAGCCTCCAGCTGGCAGATATCCCACATATCTACCACATTACAACTGGCTACTCGCTGGGACCTCTGAATAAGCAGGTCCAGCAAGCCCTCCTCACAAACAAGCAGAAACTTGCTGATAGTCTGGGAGCTTATAAGGTTGAGTCCCCTACTAAGTGGTTTACTTATGTCGTCCCACGCTGCCCTGCTAAGATGTGGACTCTTGAAGGCGATGCCCTTGACCCAGCTGCTCTGGTTGAAGACGAGGTCCTCGCCCAAACAGGGCTTAAGCCCACCCAGGCCCAACAGTCCCACCTAGGTGTAAACCCTATTACAAACGAGGTCTCCTGGATTATCTCCTTCTCTATGGAGGTGCCGCCCTTTAGACTTTTTAACCAAAGCAGCCGGTCTCAGCTTATTCGGAAGAAAAAGACCCTCATCAGACATAACCCTAGCTGCCAGGGATACTATTCGAACTGATACTGTAACCGACAGCCGCTCTGTGGCAACTGCAGCAGGCCCTCAGGCTCCCATAAGACCTGGCCCTGCACAGCTAGACCGAAGTGCGCTAACTGCGCCAGCCCCTTCCAAGCTAACCACAAGGACTGCCCAGCAAGGCCCCTGGTGGTGAACAGCTCCCCTACCCTTCCAGGTCGGAAGGAACTCTCCCGGATCCGAAAGGCTGGACAGAAGGCCTACGAGGCCCTCTATCAGAGCAGCCAGGCAGGTAGCCAAGCCACCTGCAACCAGCAGCCTAGCAGCAGCCTGACAAGCCCTCAGCCTGGCTCGAAGCGACCACGCGCCCCTACCCCTACCTAGGACTCAATTATTGTAGCGGACGTTAGCGATACAGCAAGCTCTAGCAGTATGGATGAGGATGAGAATGAGGCTGAAGCAGAAGTCTCTGATAACAACCCTATCCTACCACCACTACCCACCCAGCATATCCCAGCTGCCTCAAGCAGCAGGGCCCAGTAGGTAGCTCAGAAGCCTGACTATAACGTTATTAATGCCTACACCCACCTCAACCTCAACTCAGAGCAGTAGGCTCAGAACGGCTACCCTATAGGTACTATGGGTCGCCCAGTATAACGTGGGGAAGATAAGCCCAGCTCATACAGCTTTCCTAGAGCTCTGCTGGGCAGATCAGATCGATATAGTACTAATCCAGGAGCCCTGGATAGGCTATAGAGATAAGCTGCAAATCAACACACACCCAGGCTATAACTCTTATGTGCCAGTTGACTTCTGGAACAGCAGAGACATAAGGCCTAGGGTTATGACCTATATACAGAAGAGTCTAAGGCTATAAATATAGCAACAAAGACTAACCTAATCAAGGGACATCCTATAGATTAAGGCTGGCGATGTTACTATTATGAATATCTACAGGCCACCAGGTGAACCTGCAAACCATATAACAACAAACATCCTCCTAAACTATCGACCGCCAGAAAGAGCCCTTATTGCTGGGGATCTTAATGCCCGCCACTCTTCTTGGGAACCTGGCTCTCTAAGCTGGAATCAAGGGGATGATATCGCAGAATAGGCTGAAGGGGGTAATCTTAAGTTTATTAGGGAAGTTGGGGCCTCTACCTATACTCACGGGCATACACTCAACCTTACCTTCTCAAATATCCCCTTCGCAGAGGCCTATATCAGCCCACACCTATATCTGGGGGCTGACCACCAGGCTATTACAACTATTATCCTACTAGGCAAGATCTAGGAGCAGAGACGCCAGACTGGTCACCTCTCAGTCCCAGACTCAGCCCTCCTTCGACTTGCTGATTTGGTAAAGATGGGGATCCCAGCCCTACCCACCTTAGGGGATACACCTACTCCAGCAGAAATAGATACCCTAGCTACCTAACTAGTCAGCCTCCTCTCTACAGCTACTCAGGCTGTAGGAAAGAGACGGACTAACCAGGGCAGGGGAGCCCCCTGGTGGACAGAGGTGTGTTCAGAGGCCTATTATGCAGCTATTAAGGCTAGATAACGATAAGCCCAGGAACCTAGGCTTGTCTTACCGCCGCCTATCCTTGAGGAGCAGAAGGCCTTTCTGACCACAGTTAGGAAGGCAAAACGTGCCTACTGGGCTACTAAGATTAAGGAGGCTGGGTCTAACCAGAACCTATATCAGATACTAAGCTGGCGTAAGTCTGGTCTAGCTGTAAGGGCCCCGCCTCTTATAGTAGATGGACAGGTAATCAACAACTCCTATGATAAAGCCCAAGCCTTACGGAAGGCCCTACTAGAGAGATTTGACGCTACAGACGACTTCCATAGGAACCTATTTGCTATTCCTATAGTTCTAAGGCGTCTAATACCCTGGCAGCAGATAGTTAATATTGAGGAAGTACGCCAGGCAACTCTCACAAAGGCTACAACCCCTGGGATTAATGGGATTACTACAAAGTTACTACAATCCATTTGGGGCCTGATAGGTGTTCCTATACAGCAGCTCTTTCAGGCCTGCGTTCAGATAGGCTACTTCCCTAGGACCTTCCGCAAAGCAGAGGTAGTTATGATCCAGAAGCTGGGAAAATCAGACTTCTCAAAGGTGGGATCTTAGCGTCTAATAGCCCTCTTATCCTGCTTAGGCAAGGGCTTAGAGCGGCTGATAGCAAAGAGGATGGCATACCTTACTATTTTGGAAGGGGTTGCCAGCCCACAGCAGGTTGGGGCATTACCAGGGAGGGCTGCAGTCGACCTGACAACCTGCCTAGCCCATGAGATCGAGAGAGCTCTAGACTTAGGACTCACTGCCACCCTGGCAACAATGGATGTTAAGGGGGCGTTTGATTCCATGCTGCGAAACCGACTTATCCTTAGGCTACGACAGCAGGGCTGGCCTAGTAGTCTGATTAGGCTGATCTTCACCTTCACGTTGAGTCGCACAGCTCGAGTTAGGCTCGAGGACACTACTACAGAGGACTTTCCCCTATCCTGTGGGCTGCCACAAGGCTCCCCGCTATCCCCTATACTCTTTCTGCTGTATATAGCAGACATCCTAGCTGACGATCAGAAGCTACGGTTTGGCTATGCGGATGATATAGGCCTGCTGGCTACTAGCCCTTCCCTGGAGGGAAACACTGCAGCCCTTGGCCAGGAGATAACTCGGATCCTCAACTGGGGCACTGATAATAAGGTTGCGTTCGACCCAGCTAAGTGTGAAGCAATCCACTTTAGCAGGAAACATAACCAGACAAGAGATCTACCAGACATATAAGCAAGAGACCTAACTATTAAGGCCTCAACTAAGCCTATACGTTAGCTAGGGGTCTGGTTCGACAAAAGACTTACCTTCTAGCACCACGTCGATATAAAGGTAGCAGCAGCAAGGAAGGCAGCCTAGTTCCTACAGCACCTGTCAAACACCAAAGGGGGGCTCCCAGCTGCTGCTGCCCGCCAAGCTGTTATTGCCTGTGTCCTCCCAACAGCCCTGTATAGAGCTGAGACCTGGTATGCAGGTTTAAGTAGACCAGCCAGGAACAGTAGCACTACTACCGCTAGCAGCAGTGCTACCAACCAGGTAGCTACTATCAGTACAGGACAGAAGGGCCTGGTTAAGAGTGTTAGAAAGGTTATCACAGCAGCAGCAAGGGCTATCCTGCCTGTCTGGAGGACCACCCCAACCAGCAGCCTTCTCTGAGATGCTGGCCTGCCTACAGCAAAAGTAGCTCTTGAGGCAGCACGCTTATGCTTTGCCACGCGCCTACAGAAGGTTGACCAACAGCACCCCTTAGTCCCTAGGCTTTCACAGCTAGGACGGCAGCAAACAAGGTTACAAAGAACAGCAGCCCTCCTACCGAAATGCTCAAGGCCGTTGCTCCTACAGCCACAGCATCTCTCGGGATCATAAGACCCTACAGCTAGCCAGAGCAAGGAGAAGGCAGCTAAAGCGTTTCAGGACTATGTTAAGACTATGCCAGATAACCACACAATTATCTACTCAGACGGCTCTAAAGCCCCTGATAGGGCTACAGGGTTCAGCTTTGTCATCTACCGCGGCAATAAACGGATAGCCCAAGGGTGTGGCCGTCTCAGCATTGCAGAAGTATTCGATGGCGAGGCAGAGGGGGCGAGGGCAGGGCTCCAAAGGGCCCTCCTTACCTCCCAAGGCCAGCCTATACACATCTGTATTGATAACACCAGCGTCATCCAGGGGATACGCAGCAACATCCCAGACTCCTCACAAGCTGCCTTCTTAGAGATTCAGGCAGCAGCCAGGATACACAACATACAAACCTATTGGTCTCCAGGGCACCAAGGTATCAGAGGAAACGAGGAAGCAGATAACCTAGCTAAGGAGGGCACAACCCTGCCAGTCCCTAGGGGCCTACTGCCGACCCTATCAGGGATTAGGCGGCTTGCTAAAGAACGTAAACAACGCCAGCATAGGAAATGGTGGAAGCGAGAGGCAACCCCCCGGTATACCCAGCTAGGGCTTAAGGCCACCCTTGGCTGCCCTCCTGAATTAGCCCTACCAAGAGCTATCCTTCATCATCTCCTAGCAGCTCGATCAGGCCACGGGGACTTTGAACAGTATCATCAACGCTTTAACCACACAGAAGCACTACTCACCTGCTCCTGCGGAGAAGCTAAGGAGGTGGACCACCTGGTCTACTGCCGAAAGACGCTAGTGAGGAGGCAACGGTGGCCCACCCTTCACCCTTATAGTCGACGGGAGCCTCTAGGACCTATGGGTTCTCTAGAGCGTTACTTTAAGGGGCTAATCATCGACTCAGAAGGCTTCCAGGCTTTCATCAGCGTGACAGACTTCTTCCAGAAGATCTGCCCGCGGTACTGAGAGATAGGCTGTAGCCTACTCTCTAAGCAACAAACTACCACTACTAGGTAATAAGGTTATTACAACGGAACTAGGGCACCAGTGGGAACTAGGGAAGGATAGAACACATAGTAGCCTACGGGCAAGACTTGGAGGACGCTAAGAAGCGGCATGTGCTTAGAGTATACAGCTAGAATCTGCGGCCCTCCACGCCATATACCCTTCGGGAGGTCTGCCGCAAGGGCGTCTGCGCCCTTGCCGCCACGGCGTTAAATACCAAACAAACAAACAACTAATGCGACCACAATCTCAACCAACGAAAAATAACGCCTATGTCGTGACTCGTCGGTACGCGCTGTATATATTCACGAAAGCCCGCGGTACGATGGCGTGCATTGTCAATTACCCCAGCGCAGCCTGCGACAACTAACTTATACACATATCCCAGATAGGAACCCTTATCTGCGCGACTACTAACCCCCTACCGAACACATAACAAGATGGGTGATTAACCTTCTCTGGTTAGCAGACAGGGAAGACAAGGCTGTAGGTAGGTGCACTCATACACTTCTCTCCAGGAACTTCAATGTCAACTCCGCAGTTCCCAGACCGGGACGGTCTCGTAGGTCCGATATATGCTTAGGTCCTAACCATAGGCCATCCATGGATGCATTCAGCCGATGTGTAC